ACTTCTGCTACTGGCTGGTGACCACACTTTGAAAACCATGGAAATACACAAGTAAACTGAAATGTCTCCTGAAACGCTGCCACTATCACCCGAGCTATGGCCATTCTTTCTACCCAGACCTCCCAGATGAAACAAGTCCTCCCACCCCAACCCCCCTGCCCAGACCACCTCCCTTCAACACAAGAAGACTCATAATTTTGGAGCAAGGCACTGAAAACTACCTAATTCCTTCTTAAATTTTCCTTCACTTGCTGAAGCAGTAAGTGCTGAAACTAATTTTATGGTTTCCTTCGATATGCACTGAAGTCTCAGTTTCCCTTGCTTCTGAGTAGTTGCTTCCTTACATGCTCAGAAGGATCAACTTTGTAGCTCCCAAGTTTTCTCAGTCCCATCTGGAACACCAGACCAGCAAGCTCTGGGGTACCCCTCACCGTTCTGCTGGTTTATCCTCTTCCTGAGGTTCCCTTGGTTGCTTCTCTGTTATATTTGGATTAAGTGCAAATCTCTTTTGATTACTCACTCTCTGTTGAAACAGACAACCTGTTGCCACATGTTTGATTACTGAAACCCAGGGGAGATCCTATTTGTAATGCAGCCAGTTACAGTACGCTCAGCTTTACACACAGCCACTGAGCTGCTAATTCATTGTCTAAGAAGTTGCTTTTCAGTTTCTGATTTTTCAATAATAGGCTTCTCACGAAGCTCTTAAGCTTCAGAAATAAGCCGAAAACTGCTTTTCCAGTCATTTACATAAACACAAGTGGATTGGGAGGAGGGGAAAGAACGGGAATAGTTTTACATGTTATTCTTGGAACTCTGGAAGCCTAGTGGGTAAGCACATCAAGGCTACAGGTGTGGGAAAAGTACAATGGAGAGGACTGAATTTCACAGCAGGGACTGTGGACAATCCTGAAATTTCTCCTGATGTCCAGGCTGCCACCTTGCTGAGGCCTCACAGATATCCTGGGCTCCAGAAAATTGTTCTGTCAGCAAGCCACGCCCTCTGCTGTGGCTCCTCTAGTTGGGAAGCTTGTCATTGGCTCTCGGCCACTGTGCAGGGGTCCAGTCCCCGCACCCCCTTAGGAGGCATCCTGTCACCTCCAACAAGTAATGGGGTTACTGCAGGAAAACATCCAGCAACAGGACCCTGGAGAGAGGGGGAGTGTGGTCTCTGTGAGGGTTGCTGCGTACTTCCAAGGAGAACCAGTGAATTCAGGCCTGTCATTACAGGGATCTGGTAATGAGAAGGAGAGCTTGGTGGTATGTGGGTGACTTTCTACCACCATCTTGCTTCTTTCTCTCTCTCTTCTCTGTATATGTCTATCTCACTCTGTCTTTGTCTTCCCTCTCTATCTTTTTCTTTGTCTCGTTTTCCAAATACAGATCTTACAAAGAAAAGAATCAGCCAGAAATAATGCTAGCCATTTTTTATTTCCTGTCAAATCATATATATTCCTATTAAAAAATAAATATACAGACTATTAAAACTCATCTCTCTCCTTTAGACTGATTCTCCTCAGGCTATTTTCCTTATATACCTAATATTTGTGAGCAGAAGATTAGAAGTCAGATCAAAACAAAAATAAAACCCAAGAAGCCCAATTCAATTTAAATTTAAAAAAAAATTAACAAATAATTTTCCACTTAAGTATGTACTATGCATAACAAAAGACAAATCTTCAAATTCTATCTTCTATCTTCAAATTTATTTGGAATTTAAATTGATCAAGTGTCCAGGACTTCTACTAGCAGAATGTGGCAGCACTAGCAAAAGGGAATATGCACTTCCTTCTATAGTGTAAATGTGGGGCTGAGGCAAGGCCTTCCCACAGAGTGTATACTGGGAGGTGCTTGGGTCACTGCAGATGCTACTTTGCAAAGGCTCATACTGGCTGCACAGAGTGAATGAGTTCTCCCAAGAGTAGCTTGGTATCAAAAAGTAAAACTGGTCTCTGAATCCTTCTGGTCTCCTGTCTCACCATTGAATCTTTCTCTCTCATGCTTTCCCATCCTGATGCCATAATGTGATTCAGCCATGGGGCCCTCAGGAGATCTTGGACTTTCAGCCCCTCACTCTGTGTTAAATAAGCCTCCTTTGTTCATAAATCAACCAGCCTCAGGTATTTTGTCACAGCAATAGAAAAAAAGACTAATACAGCAGGGTCATGATCTTTGCTTTATCTCAGTACTCAACCCAATAAATGCTTCCTCCATTAGTGCTTCACAGATTTCAAAATTTATTGTAAATCACCTGAAATGCTGCTTGAAGCACAGATCCCTGGGGTCTAATATTACACTTCCTGCTTCAGAGATCATACTTGGAGATCCATAGGCTAACAGCACTGACATGACCTTGCCATAGTCCCCTAGTGGAGATTAGAGATTAGAAATAGCCTTGCCTATGAAGACTAAGCATTAAATGGTGGGTTAGAGTACATTTCAAAAACTCTTGTTTCTCTCAGTCTTTTAAATTCCTTTCCTGGCCTTACTTACTCCATGACCTCCAACCTTAAAATGTGCCAATCCTGCAGAAAAACGCACCCCGCAGACAATAGCATGTACGAAGTCACCACGCTACGCAGAGCCCTGGTTAGGGTCGGTGGGGCTGTAGAGTGAGGGAGAGAAGGCTGGAGAGAGAGCAAGGGGCACAGTCTGGGGCAAGGCAGGGAAGCCCTCTGTTTCAAGGAGAGAGAATTCAGGATTAATCTGAGAGGAGAATAGTCACAAGCACCTGCCCTGTTCAGTAAACGTGCAATGTTGGCTTTTTATTTCCCAGTATACACTGAATGAGAGGAGTCCACAAATTTATTTCAATTCATTGTGAAAACTACATTCCTGGGCCCAGAATATAGCTCAGTGGCACTGCACCAGCCTGGCAAGTGCAAGGTCCTGAGTTCGATCCTGGGTACTGGGGGTAAGCAAAGAAATGAAAACTACATTCCAAGGAAGTATAAATATCTTTTTGCAGATGAGGAAAATAAAAATTTAGGGACTATATCAATTGGCTTTATGGTTAGTGGCACAAAGTACCTGACGCATACAATTTAAAGCAGGATGCATTTATTTGGTTTATGTTTTTAGTACCTGCTTGGCTGGCCCCAAAGCAGAAGTGTCATGATGAAAGGGCATAGTGGAGCTAAGCCTCACTTCATGGTTGCTGGAAAACAGCACACAGAGGAAAGCACCAGCATAGGTATGCTCCCTGGTGACCCACCTCCTTCTGCTGGGTCACACCCAGCAGCAGTCTCAGGGAGGAATATCAGTAGAGCAACCCATCCATGAGTACAGCACTCCCATGTTCCAGTCACCTCCCCAGGAGTCTTCTCCAGTCAGGTGGACAGTGAGGATTAGCTGACACATTGGAACTAACTCTAAAGTTAGAGTTAGTGATAGGAATGGGGTGAGAATAGGATGTTATGATTGATATGATCATCAAGAAATATATTTTCTGTGGACATTCTCTGTAAACTGCAAAGGTGAAACTGCATTTATAATTTCTTAGAGAGTTAAAGGAGTAAAAGAGTAGGCAAGGAGCTCTGAATATGTTTGGAAAATGGTCCTAAGTGGCAGGACCCTAATTAGGAAGATGGTGAGAGTAAGCCATATTATATTTTAAAATCTAGAGAAATGAGAATAGAATGGTGGATCTAAGCATGATTAGTACTGCATGGACTCCTTCTGGTTCACAAGTCAGCTCTCCCTTCCACAATATGAGCGAATATCTTGGTCCTTTCATCCTATCTTCAAAACCAGCCTGCGCATATCTGGATAAACACATGGATTTACACACATTTCATTCAGAGAAAATAAAAAGTATCAGATGTTAACTTCTTCATCTTCCTGCACTCAAACTTGAAAATTTACCTGTATCCATACTAAGCCAAGGACAACTAGTATCTCTTATTTCTTTGTATTTTTCTTTATTGTCATAAAAAAAGCAGAACATGTGATTAACCATTAGATTAACCAAGTTTTCAACTATTTTACAATATCATATAGTCACCACCAGCATTCATTCGTAGAACTTTTTCATCATGCCAAACAGTAACTCTTTATCTATTAAATAATACTTTCTCAGACCCTTCTTCTTCCCAGCCCCTGGTGGGATCTCTGAACTTGCATATTCTCAATGTAACTTAAATCATACTGTGTTTGTACTTTTGAGCCCAGCCTGTTTCTCTTGGCATAATGTTTCTGAGGTTTACCTATGTGGTAAAACGCCAGAATTCCCTTCCTTTTTAAGATCTAGTAATATCCCAGTGTGTTTGGTGTGTGTGTGTGTGTGTGTGTGTGTGTGTGTGTGTGTAGTATTTATTTAGTCTATTAATCTACTGATTTATTTTGGGGTTTTTTTCTAGCTTCTGGCTATGGTATATATGATTATGAACATTGCTTGGCTTTCAACTCCTTTGGGGACATACCAAGGAATGGACTTGCTGGATCATATGGAAAGACTATATTTATTTATTTATTTCAGCTTTAATTGAGTTTATTGGTACATTTTAGGGATACAGTACAGTTACATTCATTTTTGGGATCTTGTACCTCTACATGACAAGTCTTGATTCTCATTTTTTGCTTTACCCTTGCCCTCCCTTCAACCCCTCCTCCCCTCCCCATCTACAAACACTTTATTTTCATCTTTTCATTATCTCACATTTTTTTTCTTTTCCCTTGTTACACTTCCCCTACCCATCCCACCTTCCCTACACCTTTAGCTCCTTTCTTCCCATTTCTAAATGTCAGTAATCTTACTAGGATCTTATGTAATATTGCAGATTATTCGCACCAGGGAAACTATTTGGAAAGACTATATTTAGATTTTTGTGGAATTGTTATATTGTTCCCACAATGTTGGTCTTACTTTACATTCTTATTAGCAATGCACAAGCATTCTTTGCCAACACTTTTTATTTTCTTTCTTTTATAATAGACCTCCTAGTGGGTGTGAAGTAATACTTCATTGTGGCTTTTGTGTTTCCCTAATTAGTAGTGATGTTGAGAAATCATTGTTAAGTGGCACTAAGAATGTTGCAATGCCTTAACCTTATGCGTCCTATAGGCCAAGGGCCTCTTCCATTCTTCTGCAGGGCAGTGTTGATCCTTTCTCCTTTCATACAACACAGAAGCATCCCAGGATTCCTCTGCAACTCTCTATACAGAACACGGTGGTGTCTGTGGCCATCCCAAGTGGGGATGTTTCCTACACTCTCTCCGTCCAGATGGGGCAATATGACCAAATTCAAGCCCAGCAGGTACAACTGAGAGTGTGTCCAGGAGCCTTCTGTAGCACAGGACAGCTATACCTTCTGACCCTGGTTTCACCCCATCTCTCACCCACACCTCATCCACAGAACCTGCTACCTCAGACCAGGGAGTGAAAGCCACATATAGCAGAAGCAAGCAGTAGCGAGGCCTGGAACCCTAACTTTCAGGGATGGCCTAACAGCATCAATCAGAAGAGGTGGAGTACTTTTTTATAACCAAAGGGATAGCTTTTTATCTTATCTAAGCTACTTTTATTGTAAGAAAGCTGAATCCAATCATAACGGATATCCTCAAACACAGTTCTCCTTCCTTCCTTCCTGAGTGACAGAATTGGTCTTTCCAGACTCATTATCATGCTTGTGCTGAGCATTGGCTGCCCAGATTGCAGCCTCATGTACTTGCCAGGACTCTGGAGCCAGGCATCTCTTGCCACACCTCACCGGTCCTGACCATCGGTATTCAGGCCAGTCTTTCCCATCATATAAAAGCAATAACAAATCCTCTCAAATTATCCTCTCCCTAATTTCTTTTTTGACTTTTTCTTTTATTTTTAATGGAAAATCATTTAAAATAATTATCTTTATTTTCTGACTCCACTTCTTCCTTTCACTTGTGTCTCCCATCCTATGGCTCTTCCCACAAAACTGTTCTCCCTCAGGGGTCAGAAGATATTCTTGTAACTAAGTTGGGTACAATGCTCCTTGATCCTTTAGGAGCAGTTGCCACTGCTGATATTCCTAACTTCAGGAAAGTGACATCCATCAACCTTGCTAGTGTCATGTTTTTCTGATTTTTCTCCTAGCCTTTTGGCCAATTCTTGTCAATATGTTTTATCAGAGTCTTCTTTTCCAAGCCTTTAAGTGCCAGTGTTTTGCTCTTATTGCTTTCTTTCTTTCTTTCTTTTTTTTTTTTTGATTTTTTTTTTTTTTTTTGAGACACGGTCTCACTATGTAGTTGAGACTGACCTGGAACTCACTATGTAGCCCAGGCTGGTCTTGAACTCACAGCGGTCCTCCTGCCTCAGCCTCCCGAGTGCTGGCATTACAGGTGTGCACCACCACGCCCGACTGTTTTGTTATTATTTCTATCTATTGCTTTCTACTCTCTCCCTGGGTGGTTAATTTCATCTGCATTGAAGACTGTTTTTGGTCAAGCTGAAATAGCACTCCAGAGTTCCAGATCCACCAGTCTAACTTTGTATTGATGAACTCCTCAGAAATTATCATGACCCGAATTGTGTCTGTTTTCATTTCCTTAAACCCACCTCTCAGCCATTGAACCAGACAGCAGAAGCTCTCTTCTGTTATCCTTTTCTATTCCACTCACAAGTCTCAATGTTTCCATTTCCATAACTCTTGACCCTTCTGTCTATCTCAGTACCGTTGCACTGATGGCCTCATGTCCAGTTCATTATAGCATCACCCAGAAGACTCCCTTTCCTCCAGTCTTGCTTCAATTTAATTCATTCCTCACAAAGTAACTAGAATACCTCTTCAAATTTTCAACAAACCCACTACTGTTATTTAAAAACTCAAACTGAAAAGCTGATCATGCTACCACCTAGCATGCAATCTCTCAGCACATCTTCTCTCAGTATAAAGTCTTCAGTAAGAGCCACTGAAGTTCTGACTTCTGCCTACTTATCTACCAACATCTCCTCTTTCTACCAGTTTCACTCCTCCCCTCATCTCATGACCCCCACACCATACTAACACACTCAGTCTGGCCTGAATGGATTTTGAAATCTTGAATTCATATCATGCTGTTTTGCCTCTGTACCTTGGCATATGCAGTTTCTTCTAACTATAATACACATCTCTCCTCTTGACTAAATCTACTCACCTCTCTCTCAGCTTTAATGTAGCTTCCTTACATATAGACTTCTCTGACCTAAAACATCTCCCAGATGCTGCCATACTAACCCTGGCTTGCTTTATCCCAAACTGTCTGGTCTGTTACACTGGGTGCAAAAAGTGTGTCTGCCTTGATGTTCAAGCCTCATCCACAGTACAGTCTAAATAAATAAAGCTGGACTGGATGAAACAGAAATAGAAGTGAGAACCTGGCCATATCCTTGGATGTATTATGTTGCCTTTTTATTATAAATCTTGGTGATGCAGAGATGGTGTATCTATATCATTTGGAGATGACACAAAGCTGATGGTGACACCTCATCAAGATCCAAAAACAATCTTAATGAATTTAAATAATGGACTCAAGCTGCAATAAAATGTCAAACATTTGGAAGGCATATTTAAAGGAAATCAAGTGTAAGGATGGACTGGAGAGATTTTAATACAGCAGCTTATTTTGTGAGAGGAATGAGAAAAACATCAATAAGAGCTGGTAGTGTGATAGGTGATAAAAAATGAAAGAAACGAAACCAACCAAAACTTGGATTAGTATAAATCCAATATTTTCTGGGTATTACTCCCCTCTCCATTTTGCTAATCAGATCACATGAGGAAGTGTCTGCTGTGGTAATAAGTTTTAGGTTGATAATTAGCAAGCTGAACACATTCAAGAAATAATGATTCATATGTTAGTAGTACATGGAAACTATGCCATGTAGTAATCACGAGATGTTAAGAAGGATCCAGGCTAGTCATCTCTTAGGAAGCAGGTAACAGAGTGTTATTGATATGCTGATAGCTCTAGAAGACAGAAGTTATGGAGAGTAAGTTTTTGCTTCACATTAGCCCATTTGGATTGTGTCCAGCTGCAAGTAAAGGAAGCCTAGTTAAGCGAGAATTTATTTTTCACAAGTGATAATAAGTGTGGATATATATGCATTTCAGAGCTGTATGGGACTTGCCATTTTGAACCTGAGCTCTTTCCATTAGACTGAGCTGTATGACTTTGGCCTCACTCAGTTATTCTTGATTTACCAACATAGAAGTTCATATGGTTTGACCTAAAAGCTGCTTTCTTTGCCATTTGTTATGTGTGTTTACATGTTGGCTCCTGGATTTCCAGGCAATGTCCCGTTCTCTCAGGCAGAAAGGGAAAATGATCCAGGACAAAAAGTGTGGACCATTAGAGTACAATCCCCCAAGCCCACCCAGTAATACTGTGAGAAATATTTGAAAAATAAACAGCAGAAAATTAGATCTGTTCTGTGAGTAGTAGACTCAGTGGCAGTCATAACATGATTAGGTAATAGTTATGGAATATTTGTTATGTGCAACACATTGTCTAAAAACTTTATCGCATTAACATACTTATTCCTTATAATGTACTCCCAAGCTTGGTCCTATGAGTATCTCCATTTTATTGAAGAGGAAACCGTGTCACACAGAGGCTGATTCAGTTGCCATCGGTCTCTGGCCCTGCCTGTTTTATCAGAACGAGTCTGAACTCTTTTCTCCTGCCTCACTTCCTTTCTATTTTCCCATCTACTCTTGTCTCCCTAAAGCAGTAGATGCAAGTTCCCTGTTTTTGGAGAGAGAAGCCAGGAAACCATAGCACCTATTTGTAGAGGGATCAGAGCTCAAAGAGCCGGGTTAAAATAAATCACCCCAGAAGTCCTTTTGGGCCCAACTGGTTGGAATTCCAGGGTTGTCTGACACAGCAGGGCAAATGCTTAGGGGAGCCAGATGATTGTGTGGGTTACCCAGCTACCACACTTGGCAGAAATCTGCATGGTAGCTCTGTTTCCTGTATGCCTTTTAGATTTGCTGACTCCATCAGAAAACAAACAAGTTTTTACTCTGGTGTAAAGGAGCAGACCTGGCTTAGAGAGCGTAACCAGAGACACCTACACCTCCCCCAGGTGGCCACACAGTTACACTGAGGTTTTGGCGTGAGTGTTTGGTGGCCATGAGAAGGATAGCAGTGTAGGCAATGCAGCTTCCAACTGATTCCTGGGGAGTGGGAGCCTACACCAGACAGAAGAGAAGCACACAATATCCTTAGCCTTAAGGATGGAGTCTCTTCTAAGTCTCCCCATGATGTAGCATTGTATTTCCAGCTTAAACACATTTGGTCTTGACCTTCACTTAAAAACCTCCTGAATTTCACTTCCAAGAAGCCTTAGAGATGGATCAATTAAGAGTCATTATTATTCCTTATTTTCCCTACCCCAAATGCTGGGGTGATACTTTCCAGCCTAGGATGTTTCCTCCCGAAGAGAAACACAAGCATATATGGATAGATGATATTGGGTGTATATCAAAGTGTGTGATGTTTGTGTGCACATTCTCTGTTCACCCATCTGTGACTGCATTTATATTCTTAGCTTCTTGCAGACAGAAACTAGTTCTGAGTATTTTCTTCTAACACCACTACCTATCAATAACTATTCTCAAAAAGACTATTTGCAGAATTGCCAAATGTTGAACGTGGAATGAAATTTCAAAATCTTTCAATCCAATTGCTTTATTTTAGAGTGGGAAAACTGAGGCCCACAAAGGGGATGTGTCTTATCAAAGAGTGCAGAACCTTTTCAGATGGGTTTAGAGGCTGCAGTTTAGAAATTCTTGAGAGACTTTTAAAAACATCAATGTAGAGACTCATCACAGACACTCCGACTTTACTGGTCTCTGACAGGGTGTGGTGTACTTTTATAAATCTCCCCAAGTGTTTTGATGGCACAGCAAGGTTACAAACAACTGGGTTAGAGATGAAGAGTATTGCAAATTAGCATAGATTACAGCCATCTGCTGAGCGCCTTTCTGACTTCTGAGATAAGGACAGGAGATGTAGAATTGGTTTAGGCTGCTGGACCTGTAAGAATCATGGATCCATGGAAAGGTAATTTATCTGTTCTCATATATGAAAAAAAACCCTAAAAATAACCACCACCACTATAATGGAAGATGAAAACACAGGTAGAAGCAGCCCTCCTAAAGCTCCTG